GGACCTTAACCGCAATCGTATATGTAAATGAACGCGGTTTTTTTGGAAGCGAACGCTCGGGCAATAATTCTACTTTTTAGTGAACTAGAAATTTGCATTTCAAAAAATTTGCTTTTGTCATTTTTTCAGAAAACCTCAAAGTTTGATGCAAAAAAGCATGATCGCACCGGCTCGCCTGGTGCGTTCCAGCCTGGGTTGCACTTTTCGTGGCGCAGCAAGTTCGCAACAAATCACAGTAGTTAACCGTGTGACGTACTGGCCCTCGAAGATCAGGAAGTTAATTGTGCAGCTGCGTGGTAGGTCAGTTGTAGACGTCGATTTCAGTGACCCGACAAATGGAAAGTTGCTGGTCCGCAAAAAAGGCCGCACTAAAAGAGTTAAATTTGAAATCTTTTAATCGCACAGGAGTAGAGAACATTCCCTCCCGAGTTAGCATTTTTCCCATCAAAATTTTCACGTGTCAGTACTTGAGTACCAAACTGTTTTAACAGGCTGAATTTGAAATCTTTTGGTCGTACATGCTTAGGAAACAATCCCCTAAAGTTTCAGCTTTCTAGTTTTTCCCGTTCCCATGTTAGTAATTTTCGCGCCAAAACTTTCACATGTGGTGTACGTGGTCTCGGGCGCCTCTAAACAACTAATTTTGGTTGTACATGAGTAGGGAACATCCCCGTAAAATTTCAGCTTTCTAGCTTTTTTCGTTCCCAGGTTAGTGATTTTCGCGCCTAAATTTCCATGTGCATGTACGTGGGCCCCGGGCACCTCTAAACACCTGATTTTGGCCGTACATGAGTGGAGGACATTCCCCCAAAATTTCAGCTTTCTGGCTTTTTTCGTTCCCGGGTTAGTGATTTTTGCGCCAAAAATTTTCAAAGGTTTTATATTCAGCTGCCCAGAGCTGCCCGGGGCTTACGTGCTCGTACGTAAGCCCCGGGCAGCCCTGGGCAGCTGAATATAAAATCTTTTTGTCATACACGGGCAGGGAACATTCCCCTATGATTTCAGCTTTCTAGCTTTTCTCGTTCCCGAGTTAACAATTTTCGCGTCAAAACTTTCACGTGCTCGCATGCGGGGCCCAGACGTGCATGAGAGTTGATACCGCGGTCCTGAAGTGGCACTTGGCTGGGGAACACACTGGCAAAATTTCAGCTTGTGTGGTTAGCGAGTTGAAATACCCGGACAGACGAACACACAAACATGCACACACACACAAACACACACACTGACAGGGTCGTTGCAATATACGTTTTTGCTGCCTGTTGCAGCGCTGTAGCGCTGCACGGCAAAAACGCATAAAAAGTATTAATTTATTACAATTAGTTGTGCTAATGTTAGTTAAGTTGCTGCAGATCATTATAATCACCGCACAATCTTCCTCCACTTTCCTCCAGGGAGGGTATATTTAACCGGTGTAAATGGGCGTATAATTATTCCCGGGTAAATATGTATTTGTCAAAACCAAAGAACGCTGACGAATAGATAACAGTCATGGGTGCCTCTTTTATGCAATTTTCTAACTCAGTAGGATGTATATAAATCTAGACCTCGATGTTATGTTGTTGCCGTATATAATTTCGTAGTGATTAGAACTCTGCTTGTTCTAATAAAATTCAATGTTAAAGGAGAGCTTTTGCATCGGGATCCATATCGCGATTCTAAAGGGTTAATATATTAGACTGGTGGCGTCGTGAAAATTTGCTGCAAAATAAACTTGCCACACGGGACTTTGAAAGAATTTGTAATATATTTATAATTATGTACACCGACTGAACTTATACAACGTAAGGTAAGATGGACCTTTCAGGGGTGGTGATGTTTTCCAGAACAGGGTGAAGTAGTAAGAAGTGATTCTGGATCCCGGAAATGGGGAGAAGTGCTTTTATATCCCAGTGATTCGAAATCACTGAGACTGCAAAACTTCAACAGAGTAGGGTGTCCAAAGATTGACTGGGGACCGGGGTACTGCATCATAGTGACGCAACTGTTCCTTACGCCATTTCTAACAAGAAACCATAAATCATTATTTGACATAATATGTGATATTATAAATATTGGGTGGTGTTTCTGCTAATATCAGCCCTGAGATTTCAAATTCAACACTTATTTCCACTTAATTCGTAAACATGACAAGCAAAATTCCACGTGGAAATTTTTGGTTTAAAAACAAAATGAGCTAAATTTTCTGGTAG